AAAACATAATCTAAAGAGATAAAATCCATTCAACTAATATTTTAGGTATAATTTATGAGCAAAATAACATTATTAATAAAAACCAATGGTATAATAAGTTTTCTTTCTATATATATATATATATATACACACACACATATTTTTTTTATCTCACAATGATTAGAGAGAGAGTTCCAGAGTTGAAGAAAAATAATTCGATCATAAAAGTATAGAGTGGAGGCACTTAACTTAAGTCACATAAAATAGAAGCGAAAGTGAAATTGAGAGTGAGAGCGACATAATTAAATTATAAGTAGTGAGAATTTGAATGAGAGTATGCGTAAAGCGTGGAAGTAGAAGCACCCTCGAAACGTGTAACTATAAAGGTCTCGAGATAAAATGAGATTAGAGAGTGCCCTCGAAATGCAAAAGTGACAACTCTTAAAAAAAAATTTGCGTGACTTAACACTTAATATCTCATGCTCGAGCAACACCGTGAGACCTGTATAATAACTTTTCTATTGTAAAAGTCATTCATGTGCACTCCAATTATAAATGTCTATAATGAGATAATTATAAGTAGATTGTAGAGTGTGGACCGAATGGTCACACCAATATAGACGGCTATACTAGAAAAGCTTTCAAAGCACACTCACGGCAGCCTAACTGGGTGACCCAATTGAAGGTTATTGGACAAAACCAGAAAACCAGTAACGAGACATGTGAATCCTAGCTAAATTTAATACATTTTCGGTCCTATTACTCCATATTTATTCTCATCACCAGAGCTACTTTTGGTTGGAGAATAATGTTTGGTACGTACGTCAATGGGACATTAGTAATTTATTTTTTTAATATCAGTAATGGCGAATTTCGGACCCATGCCTCTACAAATGGAAGAACCCTAACACTCTTTCCATCTTCAACGAGGTGGCAATACTATTTTATGCTCTCCCCAACAATCCCCACGCAACGTGCATCAAGGATGACCATATACGTAGTTTTTTTTTTTTTTTTTTTTTTTTTGAGGAATGAATAGATATATATATATATATATATATACCAGTTTTTATAGTAGTTGCTGCGAATTAAGCACCTATTATTGGTTTTTATTTCTTTTATTTTTTTTAATTTTTTGTTAAGGGGTTGTTAATTCACCCATGTTAGCATTTAGAATTGTTAGCAAGTTTACTATAAACCGAGAATTGATCTTCTCCGATAGCTTTCCTCTATATATGTCTTCGGGCCTTTGTTTAATAGGTATAAAAGCGTCAATATCTTATTTGCATTAAGTTAGTTATGATATTCTAATATGGTGAATACCGAAAAGTTAGACAACTGATGATGCAATATATTTTTTTATGAAAAAAAAAAATTTAGAAGCAACAAAAAGATGGAAGATTCAAATCTTAATAAATCATTTTGATTTGCATGGTAAATAAAGAATGCAAGGAGTATAAATGATTAGCGGATGAGTGAAATGATTAGCGGATGAGTGTGTGGTGGTTGGAATTAGTCTCTCAATTCAAGGTGAGATGGAAACACTTTGGTGTAACAAAAAAGTGGGAACTATTGGGGACAAGGTAAGAACACAACATATGCTTTTTCAGACGTGCGTTTGTGGTTGTTAGCATTTATGCTGTCTTATGAGAGTACCTTATCACTCCTATAAAGTTAATGCATAGGTATAAACTTTATTGCGTATTAAAAGGAGATTGGAGATCTGACTTGCACCATTTATCAAATGATTAATTGGAGTAACAACTATCAACAATTTATACCATAAAAATATCTACTAAAATACATCTTTTTTAGCTCTATAATGGGCATTCCCAATTCAACTTTAACACAATCCCTTATTCACAAATCTTTGATGGATAGAACTAATGATTTTCACTTCCTATCTCAAGAAAAACTATTTTTACTTTGCTTAGCCTTATTTTCTATACGTGTTTTCAGATGAATTTTCCTATAACAACAATCATTAAGGTTTTTATTTTTTTTATTTTTTTTATTTATAATAACAACTTAGAAGTTAGCTAAATGAAATATATATATATATATATATATTTGCTCTATTTAATACCATAACTTCAATCAATTCATGTGCTATCATGTCTTTTATACTTATAACCATTTTTTTTTGGGTGGGTAAGTAAGGTATTGTTTTATTACTTGTAACATATACCAAATTACTAAATAATACTAATAATTCTACCCACATTAATTTTGGCCTTCCTCTTTTTTTAATAATATCATTATTGTAAATTATGTCACTTTTCTTAACTGGCCAAGAGAAGTGGACCATCGTAGATCAAATTCCTAATTGTCATGATTTACTCTTTCCAAGTTACTAGGTAACAAAATTTCCAATTGCACTGCAATTGGTTTCATTTGATAATCATGACATTAATTAAGGACGACTTGAGGTAAGTCAAGCTCTAATTGTGGTCAATTAAGTGGGGGTTGGCTCCTCTAAATTCTAGTTGCTTTTTAGTTCTTTTCTAAATCAATCATTCATCATATGTTGTTGTTGTTGAGTGCTTATCTGAATCTTATAGCTTTCATCTCAATTTATAGTGGATGACACACACATATAAAAAATAATAATTTAATTTTTTCAGATTCTTAATTAATTACTTAAACAACATTCTAACATATTCCAAACATAATAATAAAATTTTTTCATTATGACTTAAAAATCACATATTTGCTACGTGGATCTAATTTTTTTAAATTCCGAAATGGCAGAAGCCTCATTTATTTGGTTTCCTCTTCTTCTTTTTTTATTTTTATTTTTTATTTTTGTTAACCACCCAAAATTAGAATCCATCACAAAAAAAACACATATAATTTACAAATTATATGCATTTAAATAGACTCATAGGCAATATATATATATATTGGTTAGAAAACAATGAGTTATAGTGAGTGAGCCCGGTGTGGGTAGTGGGTTAGCTGGCAAAATGGGGTCAAGTGGGTATAGTTGCATAATCCATGTATATGTCTGGAGAAGTTGAGGGACAAAAGCCACCAACATTTGGAGTGGGCCACTTTCATTTAACTGAAACACATAACTGTTGAGTTGTTTGGGGGAAGAGAGAGGGGTCCAAGAATGGGGTGGGACCAAAGGCACATTCTGGTCTACTTATTGTTTCTAGTCCAACCACTCTTTATCATTTTTTGTTGTAAGAGGAGCTCTAATGATATGGTTCGTCAGTCATTTTCTATGTGCCCTTCAACACTACTAACACCAGTGGCCTTAGTTTACAACATAATAATTACTATACGACTTGGACTTGCTTGTGTATGGGGTCAGCTTTGGGTCTCTAAATCATGGACTCATTGAATCTCTCTAACTCCATTTGTCAAAAAAAGAAGAAGAAGAATTAACACAACAAAATTAAATTATAGAAACATGCATGCACCTTCCTTTATAATATACATCAATACATATATATACACCATGAAAAATATGATAAATTTTACACCGTGTTTGTTACTCTAAGTAATGCTATTATCAATGATTAAAATAAATATTTTTTTTAAGAATCTTTATTCTTATTTAATACCGATGAGAGTCCTTATTAAACTTTATCTATTAAAGTCAAGTAAATAACCAATTAAATTTTTTAAAACATTATTCTTGAATCATGAGTATTGTTTTATATGTTTTTTTGAGAAACTTCATTCTTATTTAATACTGATAAGAGTTCTTATAGAACTTTATCTATTGAAGTCAAGTAAATAATGGATTGAATTTTTTAAAACATTATTCTTGAATCATGAGTATTTTTTTTGTATTTTTGGATGAGTTCTGACTTATGAGGTAAAATTCTTGGGAACGAACTTGTTGGGATGAGGCAGTGACACGTAAATGCATAAATCTTAATTGATATTTTAAAAGAGAGATAAAAGCTAATTTGAAAAGTTAAAAAGAGTCCTTGAAGCCATTATGTGTGATATTGCGTCTATGATTACTGATTTACTAGTATAAAATAATCGAGAAAAGTACAAATTTAAAAGGTAAAACAAATTTACTCCATTTTGCATGTTTTTTTAAGGATTTATTTATTTATTTATTTTATTATTTTGACTTTCATGATTGGTTTGTGTGTGTAAAAAGAACCACTAGAAATGGAAAATTCCTTGTGCCCCTAGATAGAAGGACAGCAAGTGCTTTAAACGCGTTTATGGTGTTGTGGGGCACCACTTTTTCAGGAAAATACGATAGAAGCAACAAACAATTCGGCCTTTTCACTTTTTCGTCAAGACTCACTCTCTATTTTGCAAATATGAAAAGAGGCCACCAACTTTTAGACTCCACCTCTCCACTCGCTTCACCAATGGCCTCTCTCACATTTTAACCCATTTCACTCAACTCGAAAAAAAAAGAAAAAAAAAAAAAAAAAAGTCAAGTGGAGAGTTTGTTTGTACGCAATTCTGTATTTATAAAATTATTTAAATTATTTATGATAACCATCTTAATTTAGACTGTCAAAAAGTTCAATTTCATTCTTCGAATAAATAAAAAGACATTAATCTATCTCAATTGATTTGTATTCATCTATTGTTGCGTGTGACAAAATTCTCAAAATCCCTTATATTGAGGACTAATTTTTTATTACAAAATTAACAACAATCACTTATAATTAACCCAAACCGTGTAATTTAGGGTATGTAAAAATTTCTCCATTCTTACAAGGGATACTAACGCATTGACCGTTGCGTGAAGTCACGCGCTGTGATGGAGAGTATGTTTTAATGTCATGTTTGCATGCATATAAAATGGACACGGTTTTAGTTACCTACACCCAATTCCAGTCAGATCAACCGTAACCCAATAATATAGTTAATTAACCGTAGTCAACAACAAACGCCACGCCCACCAGCACTTCTTAACCCTGGTTAAACCCTTGTGTGGTTAGAGATACAAGTAGTATGACTAATTAGTACCATATGACTCCACACACTCTCAGACTCTCGATACTTTCAAAATACCGTGATGTTTGAAAATATCAAGAATTCTTATCGGATTAATTAATTTATCTAAAAAATAATAATCAGTGTGATTTGGAAGGGGAATAAGAAAATTAATATTTTAAATAAAAATAGAATAATTTTTAAGGAAAAAAATTGCTTGCTTTACGATCTTTGTTGTTTTGCTGGCTTCTGAAGGTACAACAGAGTTTTCTCAGATCCGAAGAAAAAGGTGAAGAAAAAAATAAATAACTACTATCATCAGTCAGGTTAAAAAAAAAAAAAATTTGGCTCAAACAGTGTGAGTACTAGTTTGTACATATACATATATACATACATCCATATGTGTGTGACTGTGTGCGTGTGTATATATATATATATGTGAACTTTATTATGCTGGTGAGTTTGGACTTTTTTTGTATTGATTGATCCGAAACAGAGCATTGAATGTCTTTAAGAAATCTTTGTTGCTGTGAATGCATGGTGGTGGTGGTGGTGTTTTTGTGTATAAAAAAAAGTGTTTAGAGTGGCTTGGTTTTGTGTCGGTCATGTACTTGTTCTTGATTGAATCTTTGTTTGACGATGAGAGAGCAACAGCGTCGGCAGGCTGTTGCTGTTGATTGTTGCTAGGGTTAGGGTTTGGTTGTTGATTTTTCTCTGCTAAATTTGGCAGAGACGTTGGAGGAGTTCCGAATTTTCAGTTAATTACAGATATTTTTTTTTTTTTTTTGTAGTTGAAGAGGCAGTACTGAATTCGTGTGTTGCGAGCAATGTAAAACAGTGTAGATCTTGCTCGAACTCTGATGAATTGAAGTGGTTTTGGCGCTGCGTATCAATCTCTGTGTTTTTCATGATTAATTATGGAGGATTGGTTGTGCAAAACGAAGAAGTTAGGGTTTTGATCGGGAGGACTAGAGTTCGGTGTGTCGAAGCGAGTCAAAGTTGATCAGAAGACCACTATTTGCTTAGAGTTGGGGTTGCTCTGCTGCATTATCAATGATTTTGAGGAAGCTGAAGACGTGACCGAAGAAAATGAAGCTTTACGGATTAAATTCTTCATCGTCAATTGTGTTGGATTTTCAGTATTGGTTTTGGTAATTGAAGATCTTTAGCCAAAGGATTTTGTGAAATTTGAGGTTTTTTGAAAAAATTTCGAAGGAAGATTTCCAGAATTTAATTCAATTTTCCAGTTTTGACTTCAAGTACGCGGTTCAATCTCTATTTGGGAGATTACTTTGGTATCTCTGGTGTTCTTGTTCTTTGCTGACTGCAGAGGTAAGATATGAAATTTATTATCTCAATTTATTATTTTCTGTCTACTTACTTAAATTCCCAGTTGCTATCAATGTTTATGCTTAAAGTTTATAATCTGTTTGTTTACAGCATTAACTCTGAAACAAGCATCATCTAAGGAAGGAAGAAGGGGGTTTTATGAATTGAGAGTTGTTTGGTAAGTGTTATACAATCTTTGATTCCGATGATTACGTTTATAGATTCGAAAGAAAAAATGAAGGAAACTGAGAAATGCTTAGATTCCCAGCTATGGCATGCCTGTGCCGGTAGTATGGTGCAAATGCCTCCGGTAAATTCCAAGGTGTTTTATTTCCCTCAGGGCCACGCCGAACATGCGTGTGGAAATGTTGATTTTAGAAATTATCCTAGGATTCCACCTTATATGGCTTGTAGAGTTACTGCTATTAAATTCATGGCAGATCCTGAGACTGATGAGGTTTACGCTAAAATTAGATTGATTCCCGTTTGTGGTAATGAGGTTGATTTCGAGGATGATGGAATTGTGGGGATTAATAGGTCGGATACCCAAGATAAACCGACATCATTTGCAAAGACATTGACGCAATCGGATGCGAATAATGGTGGGGGGTTTTCAGTTCCTCGATATTGTGCAGAGACTATTTTTCCTCGGTTAGACTACTCTGCGGATCCCCCTGTTCAAACCATCCTTGCGAAGGATGTTCATGGTGAAATATGGAAATTTAGGCATATTTACAGGGGGACACCGAGGCGTCATCTTTTGACAACAGGATGGAGTACTTTTGTGAACCACAAGAAACTTGTAGCTGGTGATTCAATTGTGTTCTTGAGGGCAGAGAACGGGGATCTTTGTGTTGGAATTCGGCGGGCAAAGAAAGGAATCGGGGGTGGATCTGAATCTTCATCTGGGTGGAATCCAGCTGGCGGGAATTTTGTCACACCTTATGGAGGGTTTTCAGCCTTTTTGAGGGAAGATGAAAAAAAGTTAATGAGAAATGGTAATAGTGGAAGTTCAAATAGTAGCGGAAATTTGATGGGCAGGGGGGGAATGAGGGCTGAGCTGGTTACCGAAGCTGCAACCTTGGCTGCGAATGGGCAGCCCTTTGAGGTTGTTTACTACCCCCGAGCTAGTACCCCGGAGTTCTGTGTGAAGGCCTCACTTGTGAAGACGTCATTGCAGATCCGTTGGTGCTCGGGGATGAGGTTCAAGATGGCATTTGAAACTGAGGATTCTTCAAGGATAAGCTGGTTTATGGGGACTATATCATCAGTTCAGGTTGCTGATCCTATTCGCTGGCCAGATTCACCTTGGAGGCTTCTTCAGGTACAAAAATTTATTTTTATATGCATTTCCTTTTATATGAAAAGGTAATGAATTGTTCACAATGTTCTATTGCTTTACGTTTTTTTTTTCTTTTTTTAGTTTTAGGCAACTTTTCGTCTCTGGACGAGATATAATATCTTTCGATATGATGATGAAAGACCCTATTTAGCAATTTTATTAAGGCAATTCTGTTAAACAATTGACATGGATTCTAATTCCATTTTCTCAAAATAATTAATTTGCACTCTGCTTCTACCTGCATTTGTTTACATGGTTCTTTAAGTCATATTGTAGAGAATGAATATGTTTAAACTCTATACATTACTGCTTTAAAGGTGAATTTGTGAGATGATGAAGTTTTGACCAAGGAAAGCATTAGTGAGCAGCGGTTAAGATCAAGAATTTGAGGATTCTGAAAATTTTGAACTTTCAAAAAATACAACATTGTATTTATATATTATGTTTTTAGTTGTTTCGAGAAGATGTAGGGTTAATCTTTATAATCAGATGCATGACAATATGCAAGAAAAATTTGATGTCCAAGTTAACCTCTGTCAAATTCATCGCCAAGCTAAACGTAATGGTCATCGTTTATATGGGCAATTGGTGACCTGGTATTCCCTTTCTGAATGATCTTTAAAAATAGTGGGTGATTACGGTGGTTTTCTATCTTCCTGTCTCCCCGTGTTTGATTAGGAAAAATTTTGCAGGTGACATGGGATGAGCCTGATTTGCTTCAAAATGTGAAACGTGTCAGCCCATGGCTGGTGGAACTGGTATCAAACATGCCCGTCATCCATCTGTCACCCTTCTCACCACCAAGGAAGAAGTTGAGACTACCGCAACATTCAGATTTCCCTCTGGACGGCCAACTTCCAATGCCAACATTTTCCGGTAACCTCCTTGGGCCCGGCAACCACTATAGTTGTCTTCCCGACAATGCTCCTGCTGGCATGCAGGGAGCCAGGCATGCTCAATATGGCTTATCTCTATCAGATATCCACCTCAATAAACTACAATCAGGGCTGTTTCCGGCTAGTTTTCCACCATTTGATCATGCTGCTATCTCAACAAGACCTTCCAATCCCCCAATCACACAAAAGCCTAGCAGCATTGAGAATGTTTCTTGCATTCTCACCATGGGGAATTCTAGCCAGACTTCAAAAAAACCTGACAACACGAAAGCACCTCAATTCTTACTTTTTGGTCAACCGATACTCACGGAGCAGCAGATCTCTTTAAGCTGCTCTGGGGATACAGTTTCACCAGTTGATCGTGGAAATAGTTCTTCAGAAGGAAATGCGGATAAGATGACAAATATTTCTGATGGTTCTGGTTCTGCACTTCATCAACAAGGCGTACCAGAGCGCTCATCCTGTGAACGGTTCCAATGGTATAAAGAAAATCACCGTGAAAGTGATATTAACTTGGGGACTGGTCACTGTAAGGTTTTCATGGAATCAGAGGATGTCGGTCGTACTCTTGACCTTTCATTGCTTGGGTCTTATGAAGAATTGTACAGAAAGCTGGCAAGTATGTTCGGCATTGAAAGTTCTGAGATGCTGAACCATGTGCTCTACCAGGACATGACAGGTGCTGTCAAACAGATTGGTGATGAACCATTTGGGTGAGGGTTGCTTGCCCTTCTTCCTTTATTTGCCCCTTTATTGCTATTGTCAGCTTGAAACATTTTCATAACCTCTAGGGTAGTGAATTGAGTATTTTGAGTATTAACTTCTCCAAGATTATCCTATTGATTTTGATCCTTGTGCCATTGCAGTGACTTCATGAAAACAGCTAGAAGGTTGACGATCTTAATGGATTCAAGCAGCGACAACGTAGGAATGTAGAGAAAAGAAATAAATCTCAATTTCAAATATACAGCTTGATGACCAAATGCTTTGTTTCTAGCTGACTGCTACCTTGTTGAACATATGGGAGGAACTCCTTTAATCCAATCTCAAAACTAAGAAGATAAACCATCCCATTTTGTTGTCATTCTGCAATTTATTGAATTTTGAAACTTCCTTTTGTGTGATATATATATATATATATATTTTCTGAAGATATGTTGATATTATTTTTCAGTTTGTCTAGGAAAATTCGTACAATATAATTTAAAAGCTTCCCTTGAATCCGTCTAAGAGAAATTCAATTAAACAATGTGTGATTGGTTTTTGAGAGGGGAAATTCTTTATTGCTCATGGTGCTAGTTTTAACTTCGAAGTAGTGAGAGCATGCTCCTCTGTTCTAGGTTTTCTTTTCATTGTCACTGGAACTGTTGAATTGTTGCCCAAACTATAATATGCTTTAGACATTTTAGTCACATTACAGTAGTTACTATCACAAGTTCCAAATTTTTGGTTTTGAGTTGCAGCTTTTTCTTCTATTTCTGTGTGTTGAATGTATATATGCCTATTTTGCAGCTTCTAGTATAAACATATCTCGTGAATGCAGGTTAATTCCTGTTGTCCTTGGGAGCTCGGTTTTGAGCCTTCGCATACTCCTTTCCATTAACCCCTGGCATTCTTGTCATGAAAATATATATATATATATAAACACATCTCAGACTCACTATATAGTAAGGGAAGTGGAATTTACTGAGAAATAAAGGTTTGTATAGTTTGTTCTTTTGAACATGAGTATTCTTTAATTATCTTTTGTGAGAGTGGAAAATTGCTTTCATAATAGAATCATACAAAAAATATTGTTTGGTAAGCAGATCTGTTTTACGTGCACGGCTTAAATTTGCAGTGACAGCTGATTTAAAGGTCTAACCAAACATTTACTTTCATCATAAGTTGACAATTTGCATTCGAGACATATGTAGTATATGTATACCAAAAGTGGTCAAAAGATCCTAAAAAGTGATTCTGGCCTTGTAATGGAGTGACATGTGTATGATACATATGAAGAGTTAATAGAGGCAGAAGTCACATGGTAGACCAATTTTTTTTTTTTCCCCTTCAAACATTGAAGAAAATCTGATGCCGCAACTGTTGGGTTATTAATTAATTAATCAAATTCTTATTGATTATGTATTGGGATTACAATAGAAAATACTCCTACTAGTCATCAAATTTTGCACACACGCACGCATAAATTTTATATTTTTATATATATTATAGAGAGAGAGATATAGATATAGACACAGAAGAGAGCGAAAACAACAGCAAACACGAAGCAGAGAGGATTTACGCAAATACAACGTCAGCAAGAAGCTAGAAAGCTTGAAATGCAGAACACATTCTTACTCTCTCTCTCTCTCTCTCTCTCGATATATATATATATATACACACACACACATATATATTGTAGTATGATGTTTGTATATGTGCGTGTGTGACCACACGTGAGTGTGTGAGACCCTAACTGGGAGATGGCGGGGTTGAATAAAAAATAATAGGTTCACGTGTGGGTGCATCAAATGCGGAGATGCAAGTGTTGCGGCGTTTTGGCGAACGGACTGTTTTCACTTTGTTGACCAACACAAAGTCACAAGCACAACACAAGATATATATGTATGTGTATATATATATATATATATATATATCAGTATATCACCATCTCACCTGCCCAGTCCAACCACCACGCCATCTAGCGTCTCAACCGCGACTTTCCCGGAAAATCTGTGGGAAAATGAAGTGTTTATTTCTATAGTATCCTATATTCAAATTTGATTTCAATGTATCCTCCTCTAACAAGTTATGTTCTTTCATGTAATGTTTTGACATTTCTTCCCATACATACCACTTTATAAATTTGATCAATCCAACTTTCATAGTCTAATTTATGTACTCAAAAAGAATGCTATAAGTAATCAGTTATTGAAGTGATTATGACTCCTACTAGTGTTGAAGTGATCGCCACCAAATCTCGTAATCTACTTAATGCGAGAGTCCATATTTTTTCCTTTTTTCCTGACAAATTTTAAATAATAAAAAAAAAGGACTTGAACACGACACCCACTGTAGACATGAAAGTGACTAACGTTTTCTCAAACTGTAAAGATATGTTTGGATTGAGAGATTTGGAGGGATAGTGAAAAGAAAGATCAAAAAAAAAAAAAAAAAAAAGATTGTGTAAATTGTGTTTAGGTTGGTTAAAATGAGAGAAAAGAAAATATAGGGAGAGATAGGATTATTCTCATTTTCTATCTCTCAAAAAATAAGAAGATATAGAAAGAAAAGATAATATTTAAATAGTATTTTTATAATTTCGAAATTGTCCTTAACAAAATTATTATTTCACTCATATCTCATCTATTTTAAAAGATATGATAATAATTTAATTGTTATCTTTTCTTTTCTTTTTTTTCCTTCTATTATATAATTTTTTTTCTTTTCTATACGTCAATATATAACTTCTCATGTTTTTTTGTTTTTTTTTTTTTTTTTTTTTTTTTTTTTGGCCTTTTTTCCTCGTAGCTAACTTTTCTTTTCCCTGTAATAATTTTTTCTTTTTCTCTTCAGTCCTACTATCCAAACAAAGCCTAATGGCCCCCCTTCATAAAGGTAAGTTGAACCGAAGTGACAAAGCCTAAGTTTAGGGGCAGAGAGTGAAGAGCAAACAATGGGACGCTTTACTTGGAACTATGGTAACCGACAAAGCAATACAGCCTAGAACACAAGTACATGATGGGTGACAAGGTCATGAGTTGGATCACGTGAATTTCTGCCAACACCGTCTGATTAACGTCTTCCTACTCTCTATTTTTTAAACCATAAAAACAATCAATTACCATAAATTGCTTGTCCCTTTCTTTTCTTTTTCATTTTATTTTTTTGGCGGGTGGATCTTAGTAACTTTGTCAAGAAAATAATATACAACGTAATCACTTTACTCGCATGGATAGTTAAAACTTTCGAGTTTTTACTTACCCTAGAAAGCCCTAATTCAATCGATGGGTGTTTTGGTGTAAAATTCAGGAGAAATCAAATACAATAAATAATACGTGGTCAAAGAAGAAATTATTAAATGATACTCATTTATTTAATATTTGATGGACTAATTTAATATAAATTCCTTAATTATAGAATTTTGTATTTATTAATACATTTTTATGAATTATTTTTTCAATTCAAAAATCTAAATTTAATTGATCTATCAAATATTAGTGAGTCAAAATAATATAATAATTTCTTGTGGTCAAAGCGCACGAGAAGAAATAAAGGAGACAACACTATTTTACAAACCACTCAAATTCAATTTTTATGGTGCAAACAATTCTTTTACTTTGTTTTCAGTACCCATGTCTCACCCACAATACATGCCATGGTTTCTATCAAAGTCATAAACAAACACATAAAATACAGTGCCATGTACATAACTAGATAGTTACATCCATATTCCATAATGACATATATATATATATATATATATATATTGTTGTCGTACAAGGATTTACTTGGCTTCCAAATTACGTCAACAAAGTGTCAGTTTCGTGGTACCAAAACAAGAAGGGGTTAAAAAATAATACTGTGCAAGTAATTTTTAATTTATTCTTTATTTTGAAAGATCCAAGTCACCCAAAAAGGAGCAGTATTTTTGGGGGCAAGTACGTCATCAACTTTAATCGAGTTTGGTTCGTTTATCGTTACGTGTTGGGCTATTAAAAAAATTCAGAAACAACTTTTTAAGTAATTTTATATTTTTTCTGTATTGCGTTGGTAGCGTACAAACTTGAAACTAGGTGAAATAATTATTTATTTCAAAGCATAGCAAGATGGGAAAAGTATATATATTTTTGTGATAATATATATTCACTTCCTTATATATTCCTGTGATTATACATATTCACTACCTTATCTATTCCTGTGAATATAAAGTATTGGTCAGTCTTTTTCATTTTGGTCAACAGTATAGACGTAATTGAACATCTTTTTCAAGGCAAGTGTTCATTACTCTTATCAACCTTTTTCCTCTTAATTTGTTAGTTTTTTTTCTCATATAATATAATATACTACATATTATGAAGGGAAAATTCCTGTAGTTACGTCACTTTTTTTTCCCCCTAAGAATATGGGATTCAATAATTATAACATATAAAATAATAAAAGGATAAGTTTATACTTTATACAACTTGTAAGTAAATTATCAATGACATTGTAACTTAGTCGTATCTATTTGCATTCTTACTCAAATTTGCGTAACTGGACACTTCACGTGACACCGAATCAAAGATTAGGTCCTGACTTTAATACCAATTATAACGGATATACATTTAGTTATTTATTCAAAAGTTCAAACTCTTAAATAGTGTTGTATACATACCATTTTATATGCATTTTAATTTCCATCTAATTCGACGTGGGACAAGTCCACTTGTAATACTATTCTATTTTTCAAAGTAGATGATAAGAGTTTGCACGCAGCAAGGCAGAGTACGCGACTTCAATAACATGCATGCTACTAAATTATGACTAACATATATCGTTTAAGAAAAAATATTTTAATAATGAAAACAACTATGAATTTCTGATTCAAAAAGGAAAAAAGAAATTTGGGACTAATCCGCCTAAACAGCATTATTGGGGTAAATTACAATATACCTCCTATTAAAAATTTTAAATAACTCTCATAAGCTATCATTTTAGCAATAAATTTTTTTTTTTTTTTTTTTTGAAAGCCCTTTTTTGTTTGCGAGCCTTAAAAAAATGATGGAATAACAATCATGTGCCACACGTGTGACATATTTACTGAAGGGGTGCATTTTTTCAATTGAGTATACAAAACATTACACTAATGATTTAAGAACTATGTACCACATTTTCGATAATACCATACTTATACAACAAATTAAGTCAGAAAATGTAACAACAATGCAACAACTTACTTCTACTAATACAACATCTTTGAATGACTTTGTTTGTTTGAGGGTAAAATATTTTTTGAAAATTATTTTTTTATATTTTATGGTATTTGGTTGTCATAAAATATTTACGAAGAAAAAAAATATATTAAAATTTAATAAAAATAACTTATTTATCAATTTTCGGCAAACTATTTTACATGTCCTACCTTATGAACTCGACCAAAACTTTTGCCAAATATTAAAAATTAAAA